CCCCAAAACCCCAAAACCCCAAAACCCCAAAACCCCAAAACCCCAAAACCCCTAAATCTTATAAAATTATTGAACTATTTCATTAAATTCCGAAAATATTAAAGCTTGTTCTATTGCACTGGTGATTGGCATAAGATGATCTGTGAATATCAGAGGTCTTACCGCTTCTATTACCATCAACACCATGACTGCTATATAACTTATGATGATCTCTATCCTTGCTGATAATAGTCTTGGCGGGTTTAAAAGAGTCCTCTAGATATGACCCACTAGTGCCTTTATTCCACTTAGTAATCATTGGATCTGAGGAAAATCTCTGGTCTTGCACATCAATTGTTGATTTCCCTTTTGTTTCTAAACTATTAGCTAATGCTGGGAGTACCTAGGTAGACTCTTTTGCCGAAGATCTCTCTATTTGAAAGATTCTCATGTAATACTCTCTGATTTTTCTTAGGAATATACGTATCTTCGTGAGCTTTCTGCTTGATCTCACTGGTGAATTCTACAGGGCTCTTGCCTTGTAAGCTCTTGTCAAGGTAAGAAGGATCTTTGAGAGTAATTTTATCAATTTTGTTGAATTTAGAAGTATCCACAACTCTTCTCAAAGCTTCGGTTCCAAGCTTAGAATGGGATACAAAAGTGCCTGCCTCATGTTTAGTGATAAGTTTATCAAATGTGGGGTCAGTTTTAATCCCGTACTCTTTGAGGCCTTTTCTAAGCTCTGCTTCATTGGCCCCTCCAGAGGTGTACTTCCTGACTAGTTTCTCAACTTTTCCCTGTAGATTTTTCTTTGGCTTCTCTATTTTTTCAGGGAGATGCTTTCCTCTGGGGTAATTCACAGAAGTAGGGGCCATTGGAGCTGCTACTTTTCCGTAATTCTTTACCGTTTTGGTATTGGTATTTATCTTGCTTTGGCCAAATGCTGAGGTATAACTAGGTGCATCTGATCGCTCACTATTTTAGTCAGGATTTTTCCCTTACCTTATTGCATCAGAAACTGGAGCAACCGGATACTTTTTCTAGAAGAGGTTCAGGCAACTCATGAGTATGGAGGATATTTAACGGAATGTTATAACTATACAAAAAATAGGCCAAGGGATTATAAGCCCTACATGGAATTCAGTTAGTTACCCTTCTGAATCCCAACTGAACCATTTGGCAGAACCCTTGCTAGATTTTAGTGGCTTACAGGAATAGTTGGTTTTCCAAATGTTTGCATATTTTGAATCTAATAAAATTATTTATTAATTTAACAACTTTAGAATATGACGAGGGGTTTTGGGGTTTTGGGGTTTTGGGGTTTTGGGGTTTTGGGG